TTTTTTTTTTTTCCAAAAGTTGGGTCTAGGAGGCATCAATTGATTCCCAATTCATCCCTTCAATTGACCATATATCACTTAGAGGCTTTAAATTAATTTATTTGAAGTGATCCGCAAAGACTTTAGCTATCTTTGCTTGATTTGTGACTTCTTACCATCAATTTCTAAACAAGAGATAAGATTTTCTGTCTTCTATCATTAACAATTGCATAAAAATACTTAGTATTAGCATCTCCCTCCATAATCCATTTCTCCCTTTATTTTTGTTTCCAACTTATTTCCTCTCTTAATGGAGTCTCCTGGAGTTTCTTCTTCAACTTTAGCCTTAATCTGTTGTCTTCCTCTATCAACRGTCCATCTGATTCCTTCTATCTATGTCCTCAATTTGCAAAATTAAATTGGAATTCTTCTCCTCCAGTCTACCAAATACTAGCTTATTCCACTTTTATTTTTGCCTTCAGCTTCTGTAGCTTCTTCAAAAATTTCTGCCCTTTCCACTCTATATGTTGTTGCTGTTCACTCCACCACTCCTTCACTCTTTGTTTAAAGACAAGAAGTGTAAGCCACATATTTTCAAACCTAAAGGGGGTAGGTCTGCCAACAACTCCTTGTTGAAAAACACAGATTGACCAATGGTCGGAGGTAATTCTTGGCAAAGTTCTCCCTAATAAACCATTCCAATGTTCTTCCCAATCAACTAAGACTAAGAATCTGTCCAATTTAGAGAAAATCAGATTAGCTTGAAGATTGGACCAAGTAACTCTTGATTGCCCCAGTGGAATGTCTCTTAGGTCAAAGGTATCAATAGAACCATTGAATTTCCTCATGCTGGTTGTTACTTTCTGCCTAGAATCATTCAATTCTTCTGCAAATCTTACCACATTAAAATCACCACCAACAAGCCATGGCCCTACCCATAAACCCCTAATATTTGCCAACTCTTCTCACATCAARTTCCTTTCTCTATAAGAATGGGTCAATAGACATTTTTTAAACCCACTCAAACTCATCCAGTCATCCTGAACATTTTTCAGTTTAACCGCTGGCACAATGAAGTTTTATTTTGACAAGTTAAAGGAAAATTTTATTATGGAAAACACAACTGGATACATCCAAAACATGTGTTAAGATAACACCCCACAAGCCCCCGGAAAGANGAAGGAAGCTTCAACTTATTTCTCTTTCTCCCCAAAAGCTTCTAACCCATCTCCTGTCAAGCTCATGGACTTTAGACTCTTGGATTAGAAGAATATCTGGCTTTTCCTTTCTAAKAAGTTCCTTAATTGTTCTCTTCTTTGTTGCACTCCCTAACCCCTTCATACTCCAACTGATAATTTTCATTTCAGCACCAAAACAGACTACCCTAACCTCCTTTCTTCCTATAAACTCCCTTTCCTTCTACATCCCCTTGCACTGAATTCCTTGTCCCCTTCCACATCATTAATTAATTTCTCCACTTCGTTCATCTTTCTCTTTCTTTTTCCTCCTTTCTCCTTCCCTTTCCTCATATATGCCTACACTTCCTCGGGTGTTTTTACTTCTAAGCCCAGTTTGGTAGCTAAATCTTCCACCAGGTCCTTTYCTTTATTTTCCAATCTACTTGCTCCTTCCTCTCTTCCCTTCTCTGAATCCTCACTAGTCTTTATTAAAGACTTCTTCCCTTGCTTCCCTTTCTCTTGTCTCAGCACCCTCCTCAATTTTCTCACCCTCCAGCTCCTTCTTTCTCTCTTAGTTCTCCATGACAATAGGCCTGTCCCTGTACACTTCCAAATTCTCCACTAAATCCTTGTGGCTTCCTTTTGTAGCTTCCCTTTTATCATTACATGATCCTTTGATTACACCCTCCTGTGGCTTTGGTTGGGGTTATCTAGGTCCTGAAAGGATGCCGTACAATCTGCACAAGCTTCAACACCACTACTAGTAGAAAAAATTGAACCGACAGGGATAA